CCAACGCCTCGCCTCGTCCTCCTGCTGCACCACTTGCTCGAGCGCCTTCTCCACCCTGCGACACGCAACCCCCTTCGCGCTGATGGTCCCCTCCGGCAGCGGTTGCCGAAGCGCGGCCGCTGGCTGCAGAGCCACCGCCTGCACAAAGGCCTGGAACTCCTGGGCCCCTGCGTCCTTGCCGACGTGCTGCCGGAACTGCTCCAGGAGCTCGGCGACCGAGGAAGAGCCACCGCTGCGCTGCGGCGACGCCGACGGCTTGGGTGCCTGCATGCGGGTAGGCGGCCAAGACCTTGGCAGCTGAGCTGGCTGTCGCTGCCACTGGTCCTCACTGCCTGACCCCGACCACACTCCCTGGGTCTTCCGCCACGGCGGTTGGACTGCTGGGACGAGGGCAGCGCCACTCGAGCAGCACTCATACCTCGATTTCCAGTTCCATCGGTAGCGACAGCTCGTGCAAGAGAGGAACGTCGCATTCTTGCCCATGGGCTCCGCCAGGGGCTCACAAGAACGCGAAACTTGCCAATGGGGCACAGCGGTCTGTGTTGGAGTAGCCCTGAACGGGCTCTGTGTGAAAGCCTGGGCGCGGCCCAGGGATCGCTGGTGGGGGCGCACCTCCCCCTTGCCACCTCAAGTCGTTGAAATTCCCGTTACGGACTTGAGCCAAAATGGCTACGGAGGAAAAGGAGGAGGAGGAAGAGGAGGAGGAAAGACAAGGTGAAGGGAGACGAGAGGGAAGGAAGAGGAGGGGAGGGATCGGGAGGGAGGGGGACCTTTCGGCCCCCCCCGACCTTTTCAGACTTTCGCATTGATGCCCTCTGTCCGCCTCCCTCCCTCTTCTATCCCTCCCCCCATACCTCCTCCCCGGACCTCCGACGACTCGCCTTTTTGGAATCGCCGGTCCTTGGGATTCGGAATGCCATCCCTGGGACCGACTCTTGATCCTTCGCCGTCTCCTGACGGCCCCCCCCCGGGCCCCGAACTGCGAGGGAGCGTCGGGCGCGGCGTGTTCCAGTCGCCGGAGATCTGGGCCCACCTCGCCCCTGCCGGGGGAGCCTCCTCCGTCGCTCGCGGAAGCCGCCCGAGCGGGGCCAGCAAATCTGCCTACCTACCAGACCACCCCAACCCAACCCGAAGACCCGAATTTCGGGTTGGGGGGGGTATGGGCTCCATGTGTTTTTCCAGTGTTCCCGGACCCCCCCCCACTAGAAATCGAGGGTAAATCTGAGCCTTCGGATTGGGTTGGGGTGGTTTGGTAGGTGGTGACCTCCTCCGTCACTCGCGGAAGCCGCCCGAGCGGGGCCAGAAAATCTGCCTGGGGCCGGGGGGCCGTGCCACATCGCCGCTGCACCCGCGAGGCGTCGGCGACGCCGGGGGCAGAACAGCGGGCCCCACGCAGCGCCGCAGCGCCGACGCACTGGCGGCGCGGCGCCATCCTCTGGCTCCATCTGTTGAGAAAGCGTTTTTTTTTTTTTTGTTTGTTTTGCCTCCTCCATGCAACACAGCCCCATCATGTGTTTTCACGCCTCAGCCAGCCAAGCAAAGGGGCTCGCACTGCCACTGCAAGTTGCCCCTGCGTACGACAGCGCCGAGCAAGCCTTATGCCCGCGGTTCCTGTTGAGAAAGCGGGTGAGTACAGTGGAGGCCAGTCCAGACGAAACCTTCCACTAGAACCCCCACCCTGAGACCCCAGGGCGTTCCTCGATCTTCGGTGTGGGAGCGCCGCGCTTTCCACACCGAAACCGTCGGAACCCAAGAAGCCCAGGGCGCCCTGGAGGCAAGCAGGGTGTCTCCTGGCGTGGGCCCCCGCTGTAAGTGCACAGGCGCCAAAGCAGCGCGGGGGTCCGCGCCGACCTCCCAGGTCGCCACCGGGCGCGCCGCCGGGCGGGTGGGGTCCAAGGCCGACCCAGGAGTCGACTCGCGCGTTGGCAGAACTGGGCCTGGTTGGACCTGGTCTGGCTCAGCGATGTAAACCGGGGGGCGCCCGCCCGGTCCCTTTTCCACTCACCGGAACTTTTTTTTTCGGGGGGGGGTTCGTGATTCTGTCCAAGTTGGGGGCTCCGGGGCCCTACTGCTGACCGGGTCCCCTCCCTCCTCTGGGGTCCTGGCTATACTTAAGTCGGGCGTGTCCCCCTACATGGGGATTGTCGACGAAGAAAAATAAAAAATACGGAAGACATGCTCCGAAATTATAAGAAAATGCTCAAAAAATAGTCCCCTGACTATTCTTTGATTATTTTTGAACATTCCTCCTGTAGAGAGAAAGGCCCGACTTAAGGCCATCCCCGAGAGATGCGCGCGGGTCTCCGAAGGCTCCACTCTCTGCCGCTCTTCGCTCCTCCAGCCCCGCTCCCGGTCCCCCCCCCCCGGGGCGGCCCGGAGCGCTCCCGCCGCGCCCCTCGGTGGACCGCGCCCCTCGGTGGGAGCGGCTCGGGTCTTTTCTTCGAGCAGTCGTGTCGTGCTCCAGAGATCATCCTGCCTCTTTCTTTTGTTCTCTTCGCGA